GTGGGGATAGGGGATGTATTGGAGGGAGGAGGAGGAAGAGATGGGGAGTGGGAGGCGGAGAGGGGGGTATAGATGTGAAGGACGGTGTCTGTGTGAAGAATGATTTCTTTGTGAGGTGCAGGTAGGGGGGTGAGGTGAATTGAGGGGAAGACTTGAGGGGGGGAGTGATGTGAATTGTGGGGAAGACTTAAGGGGGGGAGTGATGTGAATTGTGGGGAAGACTTGAGGGGGGGAGTGATGTGAATTGTGGGGAAGACTTGAGGGGGGGAGTGATGTGAATTGTGGGGAAGACTTGAGGGGAGGAGTGATGTGGAGGATGGTGTCTATTTGTGTGAGGTGGATTGCTCCTTCTTTCCTTTCAAACTTATGTGACCAATTTATGCTGCAAGTGCTGTAAAGCTCTTACAAAAACTAAAACTACACTTTTTTCCCCTCAATTGCTTCCCCGGTTCTCAAAGTGTGTCAAACTTGTGTGGATATTTCAGATTCCCTAGTACGCTCAAATAAGAACATCAGTCAGAAGTAAAAGACCTAGGCTACTGATCTGTAACAAAGAAAGATATAGAAGGTCATTTTTACCTTCATCTATTAAAATGCTTCCATCTTAACCATCTTGTATAAGTATACTTATGACCTTACAGCGTGCATCAAAATAACATTGAGTGTGTATGTAGGTTACGATTATTATTGTTTACATTGCTGCTCATTTATATTATGCATGTGATTGTAAGCCTACGTGTGTGTGTGCATGTGTGTGCGCCCGTGTGTGTGTGTGTGTGTGTGTGTGTGTGTGTGTGTGTGTGTACACGTGGTGAAACACCAAACCAATGTGCCAGGATCTGGACAATAAAGATGTACCTTATCTTATCTTATATTTCAGATTCCCATGACCATCGATGACGCGACGGTGTACCCGGCCATCAAGGAGTCTCTCCAGAAACTGGGCTACGCCCCGGATATACCCGAGGACTCCTCATAGTGATGACGATTGTGTGCGTCGCGACATTGATTGTGGGTCATTGTGTGGTGGAATAAAGGGAGGGGCTCGTCAAATTTCAGGGAGCAGAGAAATCACTAGGCCCCTATATTTTTTTTTTACTGTTAGGTAATTTTTTTTAAAGAATTTTTTTTGGGGGGGGTGGGGGGGGAGGGACAGAAACCTTCCCTATCCGTTAAAAAACTCTTTGTAAGATGAATGAATTTTACCCAAAAAAATGTTATTTGGAGTCTAAAATATTTTTTAATAGTACTAGAACAACTATAAGTATTCAGCTTTAAAAGACACCAAACTTTGGCATCCGGTAACCCCCGCCTTCTTAAATAGCACATGTCCCCACTTCCATACGAGACAGACAAATGTTTTTATAACAAAGTTCAAGAGATATAGAGAAGGGTAAAATAAATAAGACAGCAGTAACTCCATGTGACCAAAAATTTACAAGTGCCTGATTCTAACGCGCCACAACACATTTGTATTGTATATATAAGCTCACCCATCATTGCTCTCTCTCATCTCTCTTTCTCTCATCTCTCTCTCTCTCTCTCTCTCTCTCTCTCTCTCTCTCTCTCTCTCTTTCTCTCTCTCTCTCTCTCTCTGTCTCTCTATGTCTCTCTCTCTGTCTCTCTCTCTCTCTGTCGCTCTCTCATCTCTCTCTTTCTCTCTCTCTCTCTCTCTCTCTCTCTCTCTCTCTCTCTCTCACTTTTTGTTGAAGCATTTATCCAGACTAAATTGAAAGCTTGCTAGGGGAAGTGTTTAATGGTGTGACATTGTTGTGTAAGTGACATCCTCAGTTGGTGATATTGTCTATTGGTGACTTTGTTTGTTTGGGTGACATCCTTCATTGGTGACATTGTTTATTGTGGTGGCATCCTTCATTGGTGACATTGTTTATTGTGGTGACATCCTCTTTTGGTGACAATGTCTATTGGTGACATTATCTTTGGCTCATGTTGTGTCTATTGGCAATATTTTCTCGGTGTGACATTTCCTTTTGGTGACATTTAGGGGTGTGAGAGTCCCGTGTTTTGGACTGGAGTCCCAGTCTGAGTGATTATGAAATACTTGAGTGAGTTCCTGAGTACTCAAATCCTGAGCACAGGGCTCAATGTGTTATTTTTATTGTGCGAAAACTACACATATTAATAACCAGAGTTATGGAGGTAATCTGAATACTGTTGTATTTACCTCCACTTGGCTTGTCGTTCACGAAGTGTCCCGTTCCGTGCACTATCCAACTCCACGACTGCTAGCGACGTTTTTTCTTCCCTAGCAAGGTTGTCAGTAAGAAAGCCAACACATAGGCTAATGCTACAAATACCACACAGAAAAGATAGAAGAAAAAACCTACAGTGCAGCAACAAACGGAAAGGGTGAAGTTTGCAAAATCTAGGCATCGCCGTACGCCTCCACTCTCTACGCTGCCAAGGCATGTAATTATCCTTGGCTTGCTAAATGCCCAGAATTTCATGGTAATGTCGCGGATTTGATGTTATCACGTTGAGTGTCCCACATTGGGGTTTGAAGAAGTGGGCAAGCTTGCAATCCTTATTTTTTAAAATCTTTACTTTTCACTTTTTGGGGGGCACTCCAAAGGAGCTTAGCTTCCTTATTTATGCAGATTTTTCAATTCTGTTTTGTTTATCTTAAATTTTATTTCCTTTTCTCTAGCAAGCTGCTTCTTCCAACGGCTTGTAGTCAGAACCACTGTACCGGTGATGCAGTATCGGCAGCTCAGTAAAATTCCTTTGTGCCTACAGTTACGATATATTGATTTTCTGTCATTTATGAAAATTTTGGTCATTGCTGAATTTAGGTCTCTCTTATCAGGAATTCTTTCATTAGATGAAGAACTCTCCAAATAAGTTCATTTATTTTGATTTAATGGGGTAATTTAGTGACAGGTATGTCACTCTCAGGTTTTGTACCAAAAGATGGCTCTGGCACAGTGGGAAAAACCTACTCTGGAGTTTTAAAAAGTTAAAAAAGTCAGGCTACAAATTATTGTTTGAAGATTTAGGTGTGCGGCAACATAGCCTTTGGTGTTCTGCTGGTCGGATATACGTGTCTCGATACGTCTTTTATGAGTCAAAATGGTAATTGAGTCAGAAGTGAGCTCATATAGAGTGCTTCACATCTTGTGTCCTCTGAGTGGAGATAACTGTACAAGTTCTGCAGTTGTCTTATACAATTTTAGGTTTTTGTCGAATTTGTTATCTTTTTAAACCTTTACTCTCTTTGATATGTGAGGTGTGCTGACGTTTATGAAAAATTTCTTGTGATTTTAAGCCTTTTCCCTCTTTGATATATGAGGCGTGCTTACAAAATGAGTTACTCCCCACAATTCATGAATAGAGGTATTGTCACCAAAAATTGACACAGGGTACAAATTTGTAGATTTTTCAACTGATGCCATTTTCTTCAAGTTTAACATGTCTTTCACTATTTCATACTAATAAACTGTACAAACTAAACCTATAGATTTTACGTATCTATTTCCAGAGGGCTAGAATCTAAGAGCTGTCGCATTTCGTCAGCAGGCCTCATATTATATTGTAACTTGGTCTGTTTGCAATATGCTCAGTGCTGATGTCCTTCTTAGTAGCTCACATACGTCATGTGTTCTGTTTTTAACTGTTTATGGAATTTACACCCACTGTGCGCCATTTATGAACTGTGTTCATGTGGATGGGATTTTATTTTTGAGAAGGTTCATCTCGTTTTGAAGTGTTTAGCTTACGGAATGTATGCTTAGTGTGTTAACTGTTGATGGAATGTGTTAATGTTGAGCTGTTTATGTTGATGGAATGTGTTAATGTTGAGCTGTTGATGAAATATGTTAATGTTGAACTGTTTATGAAATGTGTTAATGTTGAGCTGTTTATGAAGTGTGTTAATGTTTATGAAGTGTGTTAATGTTGAACTGTTGATGAAATGTGTTATTATTGAGCTGTTTATGGGACTGTGCTAATGTTGCAAAATGTATTGAGGTTGTTATCTGTTTATGGATTTCACCGTTGTGCCTTACACAGGGGTCTGATGATCCACATCTTGTGCCATGATTATTTTGTTGATTTTTTTTTGGGGGGGGGGGGGTTTGAGGTTTTTTATGGTTATGGTGTGTCACCAACTTTGTGTGTGTGTGTGTTTGTGTGTTTACTGAAAGCCAGATGAGTCTTCTATTAGTTATACATATATATGAAGTGTGTTATTTACTTTGTAAGTGTGTAGATATACAGTGGAACCCACTCAAACTGAAATCTGCAGGACTGCCAGATTTTCTTTAGTTGTTCCGAACGGGGATCAAGTTTATATATATCCTGTTACTAACTAATGATTAACGAATTTGATTGTTTTTATTACATACTAACATAGATTACTTACCACCGATTTGTCAATTGTTTTTTTTTTTTCAGTTTTCACTATTTCTGTGATTTTTTTTCCTCCTTTCATTTTTATTTCCTCTTTCTCTCGTCTGTTATTTTTTTAGTCCCTTGCACGTTGACCAGATAGATTTGAAATGTACAGGTGACAATAATGATTTTATTTAGATTCTATGTGTAGCACAAACCTATGCTCTACCAAGTCCACAAAGTTTTCAATAAGACTTTGTCAAAGCTTGGGCTCGGTCCACTGTTTTAGCTGAACATGTTTGTCTGAATACCTGCTATAAAAGAATTTTTTTTTAACTTTTCATTATGATAGACCAGACTCAGAGATTTATTACTTGCCTGATAGCCGGAATCCACTTATAACCGAGATCATTTTAAGTTGGGCCATGGGTGAATGACGGGTGCTCTAGTGTGGTTTGCTCCTTCTTGCCTATCAAGCATCGATCGCCCTTATCTTTCCTCCTTTTTTTGTGTGTGTGTTTGTTACCCTCACCTCTATTCTTCGGCACACATATGACCTAATTATGTTGCAAGGATCGTAAAATTCTTACTAAAACTCTAGAACTAAGAAGGGCCCATGACTCTAACAGCTTATTGTACTCTAGAACAGCCAGGTTTTTTTGAATGCATTTGCCTGTTTGTGCTTGCCCCGTGCTCGCTGTGGGTGGCTGGAGAGCGCCACTGGCAGGTCCTACTGCATTTCATTCCCTCACTTGTTGTTTCTATCTGACCGTCTTTCTTTTTCTCTGCATCTCAAATGACCGTGTGTGGTTGGCGGGTGCTCTGGTATGGTTTGTCCCTTCTTTCCTGTCAGACATCTGCTATCTTTATCGCTCCTCCTTCTTTTCTTTATGTGTTACTCTCTAGTGTTGCCTGTGATCTTGAGCACTTATATGACCTTTTTATGTTACAAGTTCTGTAAAACTTTTACTAAAACTAAAAGCAGATGCGCATTATTGTACTAATGTGCTTCTCCTTGCTAAGAAGGATAAACATGCTGGGTTGTTATAGAAGGTATCCTTAGGATTTAAGCAAGCCGACAGCATTCAATGCTTTCCTGGAGACAACATTCTGCTTGGTGTGTACGTTTTATTGCCTATCCCATCAGGCCAATTTTGTTGACATGTTGAAAATTATTTTCTGCACATGAAATGGCAAGATTACATAAAGATAATAATATTGTATTTGTATTCATAAAGGGCAGTCGATAAAGATATACTGTACTTGTATCCGTAAAGGGCAGTTGATAAAGATATACTGTAGTTGTATCTCTATAAAGGGCAGTCGATTAAGATATACTGTATTTGTATCCATAAAGGGCAGTCGATTAAGATATACTGTATTTGTATCCTTAAAGGGCAGTTGATAAAGATATACTGTAGTTGTATCCATAAAGGGCAGTCGATAAAGATATAGCTGTATTTGTATCCATAAAGGGCAGTTGATAAAGATATACTGTAGTTGTAGGCCTATACGTAAAGGGCAGTTGATAAAGATATACTGTATTTGTATCCATAAAGGGCAGTTGATAAAGATATACTGTAGTTGTATCCATAAAGGGCAGTCGATAAAGATATACTGTATTTGTATCCATAAAGGGCAGTTGATAAAGACAAAGATGTACTGTAGTTGTATCCATAAAGGGCAGCCGGTCAAGAGAGAGGGATGCCATTTTTTTCTTCTTTTTTTTTTTCCTGTTATTTCCGATATTTTCACTAGATGTAGAAGAATTGATATTATTCATAGGTTGTTGTTTTTTCTGTTTAATCCTCTATTAATTTTGTCTACTGTCTTTTTGTTGGCAAATGCAACTTTCATAGAATGATAGATTTTCAGGTATTTTTGACTTCTCTGATTGAAGAGAGAGAACATTGTTGGTGAATTTTGTGAAATGCCACACAGTTACCTCCTTGTCTGTTGCTCAGCGTTATTGGCTGGAGGTTGTTTATGTAGTCTCATGGAGTCCACATACATAGTTTACTGTTTTTAAAGATTTTACATGTGTCGCGACATAGTGGAATGAGGCGCTCCTTAATTTTTTAGCATATTATAGAGTTATTATTAGTATAAACTTAAATCATGTTTATTTCCCTTAATTCTTTTTTAA